AAATCTACTACTGCATAAATTTTACTTTATCCTTGTAAGAGAGAACTCATTTTTTAGTTATTTATAAATGAATTAATATTTAAACCAAATAATAAGTGTCTGAATCTGTAGAATAATTGGATGAGATTATTAAGTCTCATTATCATAAAATATTTTTCTTTATTAAACCATCCAGAACTGATTTTATTCATACAAACTTGCCATATGCGTTTGCTCTATGATAAACAGAATGAAGAAAGCTACATTTCCTTGATAAAAAATTATTTAACACTGTGTTCACAGTATCATACTTATATGTTGCCCATCACCAAGTAAACTGGATTTCGTCCAGTCTGTCGCTGTCATGAAAGCACCAAAAACACCAGTCTAAGAAACATCTCCCTCGAAAGGGTCGATTGCCTCTAACACAAAATAGGATGCGCTCGAGAAGAATCACAAACATAATAAACGAAGCAACCGCGGAAATAACGAAAGTCTCCCCTATCGCCACCTCTGAAATTTTCTTTTTCTATGTGGTTCGCCTTCGTGCGAAACTGATTAATGTACTAGAACATCGCAACCAGCGTCAGCGTGTCGGGACATCGTAAATACGCGAACCAGATGGCTGGCAGTAATTTCGGAAATGAACAGCGGAAAACGTCAAGGATAATCGTGTTAGAACGCGGACAGACGGTCAGTTAGCAAAGGCCAGCATGTTTCAGAGCTACGTGCGTATACGCAAGGACGAGCACAAACACAAACAACCTTTTTCGAACGACATTAAGCGTTGTAAAAAGGAACGCGTTTTAATTGACCTGACAACTTTTGAACCAACGAAATATATTCTTCACGCCTGACCGAGAAATTCAAATTCCGTTCTTCAATTTGAATTTTGTTAGAATCGAATCGGACGATTCCACGCCGAGTTACATGGTACAATGAGGGTAATATTTAATAATTATATATTTAAAAAGATAACTGTTTAAGAGTATCTAACAATGATAGATAGTAGAAATATACCAAATCTGAATTCAGAATTTAGAAATTATAAATGGCGGATCCAATGTAACGGGACAAAGTACGAAAAGTGATATCTCTAATGGAGATGTCAGAGAATGATAAAGAGCAATTAACAGTAATAAATGTTACCTGCGTGCACATTCGTGAACGAACAAACATTCTCGCGACAGTATTAAATTTCAGAGACCAAATCGCGTAGGAACAAATCTTTAACTCTCCGTGGGTTCGCTGCAACTGAACGTAAAAATGTTTTAATGAACTGCTGAGGATAAGAAACTTCAAGCTCTTGAGCACACGACCTGGTAATGAGGATTAATGTAATTACGTCTTGAAGCCTTCGTCTTGAAGAGAAAATAATATTTGTAGAACGAAATCGAAAGTTCGTCCTGTTTAAGTAACGTGATAATTAAAAATTAAAAACGGAAGTATTTTAGTTCTTTTACGCTCGACATAAATCAGTATAATGACTGCAGAATCAAACGATTTAATTGCTATACGCCAGAAGCACAGTATGCAGAGTCCATATTTAAAAACATGAATAGTAACGACGAATGTAATATTAGTTTTTCAATATGGTGAACGTAGTTTGCTTCTGAAATTTGTCATTATGGACAATTGTTGCATGATTTCTATTATCACGTCTCGACTTTACCTAACAAGTACATTCATAGCGAGTAACTTAGTTTAATTTTTTTGACACTTTTTGTCAATTAAATGTCTCACTTGAAAACAATCTGTAATGTGAGGCAAAAACGTAATCATAATAAAGACACAAATGATCGTGTAACAATTGCAGGTAAAAGTAAAAATACATGCTTCGTTTCTGTGGTATAATAATTAATTTAAACTAGTTCTTTGACGTCACTCGGGGCAGGATTGCGGCTAACCGGAAACTCGGAACGAATATAAGAGAATGTAAATGATAGGAACTGCAAGTTCATTATAACGCCGTAGTGAGGCTGCAAAATTGTTCGCGGAACTTCCGTGAATGGCAGTTAATTATAATTAATTTCATATTGTCTGGTCGACAGGCTGAGCTGATTCTTCGCTCGGTGAGGATCATTCGAAGCGTGCCCATGAAGTTTTAGTTATTGCCGGAATTAATACGAATACGAAATTACTGTGTATATTATAGTGGTGTGATAACTTTTCACAGTTATTTTTTCAGTCTTCGTTAGGTATTGTTGAGCCATGGGCCTGCAAAATTTTATCGTGCACATGGATTCGTCTCTTGTCCTCAACTTATACGATTACTTTTATTTTTTAGTGGCAAATTAATTCTGTAACAGAGGTGCACATTGTGTTACTAGAATATACAAGCTGCTTCTTGATACAGTGACTCTTGTTAAGTGTGACGATTAAATTGACAAAACTCGTTAAAAATTAGACAGAATGACTCAATATAAATACAAATAGATATAAGAATTACAGCAGAATTCATAGTTTACCTCCGTTCCTCGAAAAATATTGAAAAAAAAAAATTCCAAAAAAAAGTAAAAGAAAGAAAAGATAAAAGAAAAAGGGCTGATTTCAGATGCTAGATCGGTATACTGCTCTAACACCACCTTAAGAAAATCGTAATAGCTCTCGCCTAAACTAGGACCCGTCTTTCATCATTCTGCAAAAGCACGTTAAGATCGGAGGAGGACAGGTTGAGCAATTTCCTCGTTAGAGTTGGCGCGTGAAATCCGCCATTTATTTGTGAACTACCTGATACTTCAGCCAGCAAACACGACCGTGGTGGAATCGAATGAATCTACGCTCGTGCTCGTTCGAATACGGACTTCAAACTTTAATACGTCAGAGAATGCGAGACGAGCCGGTAGAAACCGCTCAGGAGCATATTATTCAGTTCGTTCTGCGCTCATAGGAAACCGCAATTTCCACGGATTACACGAACGAAAACTGACTCTCGCGACTGTACAGCGTCGACCACGGTGGTGGAATTCATGGGTCGCGGGTTATGCCGCATTCGGTGGTATGTAGTAATTAGCAACATTGCTCCCAGATCCCAAAGGAGGAAGGAGGACGGGCCGTTGAATCGAGGTATCGCCGGCGCAGATTTCATTCGAAGGAATACAACGCACGACCGCGATGACTATCTCGTAAATTATTGTTACTATGTAGGCTTGTCGATTGTACTGTCGCGACACTTGGTGTCACACTGCGATGAGTACTTCTTACGAAGATTTCTAACGGTGCCGAAAAGGCAATAAATTTCATAGCGAGTCTTTGAACTCACAGATAAATTTTAGAAAAATCTGCTGTTTTAAATTTTTTAAAATTAACGATGCTTTTTACAAACTCATAGAACCACTGGAAATGCTACTAATAGTACCTGGAACGCGAATGCAACACTCCCAGTGACACTTCTTAATATCAAATTTAATAAAGTCTGAGACACCTGTAGTTGAATTATCGCTCTAGTTTGTTGTTTCCAGGGTGGCAGATAAAAACCACATTGGAAGCAAGAAGACGAAATAATTCGAGCCCCTTCGCCAGTGGCTGTTTCGGCATCGGACGACTGAACTTCGGCTAAACTGCCGCAACAACTGACGCTAATGCAACTTCCTAGGTCGTTATGGAAGAGCTTGAAATGTAGATCCACGTGTAACTGTTGCAAATTGGAGGGCAAAGACAAAGACGAGGTTTTTTGAATGAAGCCTTGAAGAAACTCTTATCGTTAGGCTCTGATAATAATTAAAGAATTAACATTTTCATCAAAGTACCGCAATACAGTAGGATAAAAGAAGTTCTAAAAATAAAAGTAAAAGAACCAACAGTGGATTATAATATCTAATCACTCGACTAGACAATAACTTCTCATTTATCTCTCTGCATTATTCAGACAAAATATTATCTAATTTTTATTTGAATTTGAAATCTATTTCAATAATTGGATCGGTGAAAAAGCGAAAAATGGAGTAATTAGGACTTCTTGTTTCAGTAAACATAAATTCAATATAATAAACGTAAATAGATATGCAGAGTAAATAATTCAGTAAATGTAATCACGTTATATTTGCTCTAATTGGACCAAGAAAGTAAAGAACATTGCTTCGAACTGTTATATTTCGACATCAAAGAGTAAACAAATCTAAAGTTACTTACTATTTTTATAATTCCTTCTTTACTTGCAAAGTTTCAGTTGAAGTAAACAGACTGATACACTCGCGTTAGCCTTAATATAGAAATGAAATATTATACCTTTATGTAGATAACTAATATAATTAAATAAATAAACAGCGATGATTTGCACAGCACTGCTTGAAACGTGCAATTTATTCGAAGAAAAGTCAGACGTGTCTGATCACATACTGCCCCGATCTACTTAGGAATTATTTTTGCCTCTGCAGCAATTGTCTCCAATAAAAAATTCATTTAAAATAATAATATACCCTTATGAGCGTCAATTTAACAACCACTAGATTTCACGATTGTACTTTGATTTGGTACAAAGTGTACTGTTAGGCAAACGTGGTGTTATTGGGTAATCATTTGAACAAATCTGTTCAAACCAATTATGAATTCGTAAACTATCGAATAATTGGAAAATATTTCAAAGATTAACCCTTTACAAATGTTTCATAGGTTAACTCTTTGCAAACCAAACTTCGGCAAATAAAATATTTTTGCCGTTATTTCCAAACATTTCCAATCTGATGCGTCAATTGTTCATTTGCAGGCGCAATAATGCAATATTAAGAACAGGACAGACAGAAACAAAACTTATCAAGTAACAACAAAAAATATTATTGGTATGACAAGATAATCTTTGACTAAACGTTATCAATTAATTCAATTAACAAATCTCAAACGGAACGCAATAATACTTTTCTTTACTCCAAACATATTACTTATTTACACACAAAAGAGTTCTTTCATAATATAATGAAAGAATCCAGAAATGCGAATGACCCTGACTTTAAAACTTACGCACTGTTTTGGAATGGCAGTTTTACGCGCCTTACTCACACGCCAAGATAGTAACGATTTAAAGGTCTATCTGTAACAGAACACACACGCACGCGCATCGCACGTGGCTCGAGTCTCCATTCGCCCTCTGCTCGTGGGAGACTGGTTTCCGTGGAATATATCAAAACAAAAGCGACACGATTATCAGGATTTAACAGGAAGCGAAACACGTGGTAAACAGCAGACTCATCATTGCATTATGTAAGCGAAACCGAAGGCAAATAAGACATTATCGTTCTCTGTTCATTTCAGACTTAACTGTATGCACAGCTGATTGGGATCTACCGTTGTCTAGCTGTGATAGTGAATTTAGATACTAACATCATGTCCGAAAAATCAGACTCGGTAGACATTCAAGATCTACAGGATATACAAACACCTTTTGGGGTGCCTTTGAAGGGGATCTATAAACGGTAAATAAATTTTATTATTTATATTTAACCTAGAAGTCGTGGACCAAGTTAGCATCTGACAACGCAGTACTTATATTTGATATCATGTCCAATAATTATGTCAATTCATTATAAACTCTAATTTTCACCTATTATCATTTTTATAATATGGTGTATGCATATAATCATACTCATCTTGTTATAGGAGTTTTGCTTATATAACAATCAAAGATAGATTACCAATAATTCTAACTAAAATAATTGATACTCTTAGTCGTGATAAGGACAACATTGCAAGGAAATATGGGGAGGTATAGTGTATGCTTTAAGAGATTTCCTGTACCATACATTTGTTTGTGTTTTAATAATACAAAATACAGATCAAGATGTGTCCATCTGATGTGTGGAACTTTTAAATTGTTTAGAATGCCACGGAAGAAATTAAGCAATTGGTAGGATTTATTAGTAAATTAAAAAACGAAATAGTTACAAACAAAACTTTAAAGCCTCTGCAATTGCTACCCAATGTAACAGGTAATGATGCTGAAGAATGGAATAGATATTTAATTAAAAGGAGCGCAATAGAAGGCGGTACACCAACATGGTTTAATACAGATTGGTTATACTGCGAATGTTATATGTATCGAACACTTGCACAAGAGATTGCTCTCAAGTATGTTCTAAAAACCATTTAATGAATAATATGTAGTAATAAGTAGATCGATTTTATGCATTTGGTATAAGCTAATATAAATAATACATATGTAGATAAATATTTCATAAAATAATATGATTTAATACCTGCAATGAAATTTGAACTCTTTCATTTTCAGAAAATATTTACACAGTTACGATCCTTTCAGACAACAGAAAGAAGGTGCATTTATTAATTCACTAGCTTGTATAGTTGCACTTTGTAGTTATACAATGAAATTTGTACAAAGATCTGAATCTTTGTCAGAAGTTGAAATTAAAGAAGAGCTTTCTAAATTTATTCAACTAAATCTTTGGGGCAATAAGTATGTTTAATTTATATTATTTGTTTGTATACTTCTATTAACAATTTTACCAGTATACATATTTTGTAGATGTGACTTGTCCCTAAGTGCAGGAGCAGAAGTTAGTCAAAGTTATAACCCCATAGAAATTTTACAGTCAATGTATAAAGATATTCTTGTAGATCAAACAGAATTTGTTTGGAATTTATTAAAAAAGAGAGAAACTAATGTAAAAATAGACATGATATTGGACAATGCAGGATACGAACTGTTTACTGATTTATGCCTAGCAGTATTTCTAATTGCTTGTAAATTTGCTGTAAAAATAAGATTCTATGTAAAACTTTATCCATGGTATGTCAGTGATACAACAAAAAATGATTTCAATTGGACTCTAGATTATATGATGAATTCACCAAATAAAGACCTACAAGAATTAGCTAAACTAGCAAGTAACCACTTGAAGAATAATGTATGGACTATTGAGGTATGACATATATTATTTTATATAATCATCATAAAATAATTGTAATATAAAATTTAATCCCAACTCATATTTTATTTAGGAAGAGTCCTACTGGACAGGACCTTATGATTTTGCAGCTATGAAAGAGCAAGATAAAGTGTTGTATGCAAAATTATCAGAAGCTAAACTAGCCATATTTAAAGGTGATTTAAATTATAGAAAATTATTAGGTGATATAAATTGGGAATATACAACAGAATTTAATCAAGTATTGAGAGGTTTTCAACCAACACACATTCTTAGTTTAAGAACAGTGAAATCAGATGTTTGTGTTGGCTTACCATCTGGTATGGCAGATGAACTATTTAAGAAAGATGAAAATTGGATGTTTACTGGACAGTATGGGCTTATTGACTCAACTTTGGCTGGAACTTGTAAATGTTCTAACACATGTTAAAATGTTAAATACGAAAACACGGAATATAAAAATACTTAGTGTGTTATTGCATGTACTTTGTACACATTATTCGTCTTTGTATATAATTGACTGTACATATACAGTCTAACAGTGAACAGCTACAGCTTCTAATTAAATTATTATAATTCATACACTCATTACTTGATAGGAATATAGAAAATTTGACTGTTTAGCTTACATGGTAATGTGATTGAAATTATGAATGATAGAGAACTAGTCTATATGTTCCCTATTTCAGAAAAATTTTTTAAACATTTGATATAAATTTCTATGTATATACATTTTTTATCTTTCAATAATATACGTGACTCTACTAAAAACAGAATTTTCGTACTGTAAACTATTTTTCCGAAACATGTGATTGAACTATAAATAATGCTGTACAGGAATACATCCAAGTGTAACTTCTACAAATTCATTTTTAAAAACGAAAACTTCTTTTACCAAAACCATAACTTATGAACTATTAAACATATCCTAGCTCAAAAACTGTCATCTTTATTTGCGATAATGATAATAATATTAACCTTTCTATATCTATTATATAATTAATCTAATGCAAAAAAGTACTGTTAAAAAAATGTTTTTCTCTATACAAAACAAAATGATACTTTTTAAATTTTTGTATAAACAAATTAAAATTGTTTGCCCAAATAGATGAACTACATAATAAATGTTTATGTATTTCTTTTATAACCCATATCATTTAATAGAAAATAATATTCTTTTTGTCATATGTTGAATTTATACTTTGATCTACTACATTTTTAATATCTGATATTTAATACTGAAAAAAAATGTAGTTAATATTTTCAAGAATATATAAATAATGAATAATAATAGTAATTTTACTTCCTTGCATATATATTCTTAATAATTATAATTAACAATTGATAATAACATTTTGTATTTGTATATCTTGTCTTTGTATTCATAAATTAAAAATTATATTAATATTAATTTATTAGTGATAACATTATCATATGAATAAAAAGAAACATAAAAGCATGAAAATGTGAAATATGAATTCATTGTTAAGGTTAATTTGCATTGTAAAATCTTAGTTTCATTTAAATAAGTAAAGTAAGAATATTAAAAATATAGTTTATTTTAAAAAATTGATTTATTGGACATCAATGTATGTACTACATATATATAGCAACTGAATAAAATAGATTTTTTCAACAGGCAATCGAGGTAAATATTTATATTTTGTTACTGTTCATGTACTCATATTTTTCACATTAAATAAATTTTCCGAAGAATTAAAAAATTACCAAAATAATTATTATAAATAATCATCTAAAAATTGTATAGCTAATAATTTTTTCATAAATTTCAAATTATAATATATTTTCAACAAATTTACAAGTTGAACATAAAATGAGAATATTGATTGAACTTGAAGTACTTTTTTAATTACTGTTACACAATCCAAATACTTGTATTTAGCACCTTTCTCAAAACTTTCACAAAGAATTTCTAGGAATTCTACCAAGTGGCAGTAGAGCTTTTAAGATTTTAAAAATCATCTCAATGTTTATATATACCAATATATAATTTTCGTGATTGAAATAAATTCACACTTCTGGAAGCATTATTCGTTATTGATAGCATCATAATAATAGTGTGAAAATGCTAATTTAATATTCATGAAATATGCTTGTCCAGCAAGCTGATTCTTAGGACAATTTCTCTCAGTATAGTTACTTTGTATAAGCAAACTTTTCAATAATGTGCAAGTATAAAATTATCATGTTTATTAATTATTTATTATATTACAAGAAATTTAACAATAGCTGATGCTTTTTAAACTTCTGGTAAATCTTTATATTACTTTAGATATAACATAAGATATACAATACTATAGTATTGTAATATGAACATAATGAAATAACAATATAATACCTATAATCTCATAATACTAAGGCAGCAATAGTAGGGGACTTCAGAATATCTATTTCTTTATCTCTTGTTTATTATTTTTAAGTTTATATATATAGACAAAAATAAATTTACCATTTTTTGATACACAAGAATTTAGAAACAAGAAATAATTTTATACATTATACAAACTTACATATGGATTCCCTTCACAGTACAAGTAATACATTAACTAAAATATCTTCATGTTATTAGATACAAAAATTCTATGTGATAGATACAAGATGTCCCAAGAAATATATAATCACATAAAGATATTTAGGATTAAATGTTATTTTAAATTAAGAAATACTATGATAATAGGATTATTAAACTAATAGTAAAACTCTATTTCTAAAAATATAAAATCTCCAGTTTAAATTGTATTAATAGAAGGTATACATATGAATAGAATTTTTTGTTACCTTTCAATTTAAGCATTAAAATAACGCTTGTATGTTTTAAATATATGGTTAGAAAATTTAACATTGAAATAAAAAGGGATCATATAAAATCCATATTCAAATCAATATAATTAAAGTACTTTATATCATTGAAAAATGCCACTGTCAAATAAATACGACTAACTCTAGAACTGATACTTGAGCAGTCGCACGACTTGTGATTTTATTATTTCAAAATACATTTTCTACTGTCAATTGCGTGTTAGCTTTTTACAGTTCAAATTTTATTAAAAAAATGTTTAACGTAAACAAAAATCTATTCAAAAATAATAAAATCAAATTATCTCGCGCGACTGCGAAGACTAAGAAAGAAAGATTAAATATTTCTTGATCACCCTAAACATACTTGAAAATTTAACAACAAAAATATATATTACTGATAACTACTTACACTCTCCATTATGTTAGAAGAGAAATAATAATTAATCTTGAAAACTTTGTATCCACTTTTAATCGCGTCTGTCTCTGTTGTCCTCACAAAATGTTCCATTATTTATAACAGTCAAATCCCAAGTTTGCATTTTTTCTACTTACACATCACATCATACAATGTTAGGGTAACATGTAAGGGATAAGTTAATAACAGAATTCGTCGAAAACGTATCTACACATCGCGATTAATTAAAAACATAACGACTTCGACACTAGTTTACCGCACGAAAATATTCCCGCGTTACATTTGGCCATAGATTATGACGATACATTGACAGGTTTACACATGTGTTAGAAACGATGTTCATGAAATAATTATATTTTCGATATCCGAGTACTTTACTGCCACCTAGTGAAGCTATGTAACATCTTCGTAAAAAGTAGTTTTCAAAGTAAATCTAGTATAATCCAGTTTGGTATAAAGGGGACATCTAAAGAAATCGTAAAAATTGTCGTCATTGTCACAACTGTGCAAAGAATTACTTTCATCGTTTACACATTCGGACACTTGCAGGAATGTGGCACTTAACCTGACATTAAATGTCTGCCACATAAATACCGTGTCTATAAACATATTTGCAGTCCATGTGCCGACACAATAGATACTGAGAAGATACAGGACAAAACTCAGCACAGTGCTGCAATCTTTCATTCCTTAACTGACATGGCACTACCCCACACTCAAAGTACTCATTCACACTTTAAATTTTGTTATTTTTGTAATATTTAAATATGAACATTTATAATTCAGCTATCAAATGTATTAAATAACAATAATGGAAATTACTAATATTCTAAGTCTGCTTTACACAGTCGGGTTCAAGGTATTTGGTCTGAATTGTATGATCGTTAACAATGATTGTAGCTATTCCATTTCAGATTGCAACTAAAATTCATGCAAAAATTGATAGTCCCAAGTATTCACGCTAGTACCCAGTATTTTCTTTATACACTTGTGGTTTATAGAGGGACTGTTACTTAGTGAATGCTGCAAACACGGCCCAAAGGACTGGATTGGCATTAGGTTTAGCAGCTTCTGCTTCGAAGTCAAGATCTAATAATGTTCGTACTCGCCGCATTGCCACCTCATAATCGTCGTCAGAAAGTGGTGCAAATGCATTTTCTAAAACATCAGCTGCATGAGCTAAGATAACTAAAGCTAATGTTCGCCTATCCATGCGACCAGCATCATTGACCCAACGAGTTAATACAGCTTCCTGAATCTGTGAATTATAAAAGGTTCGATTTCTTAATTTTAATTTTTAATATTAATTCGTAGTAAAACTATTAAAAGCATTATGGAAACACAGGTATAAAAATACTGATGATATCATACTGGTTCTACTATTGTTGTTTATATGCTTAATTGATTGGTAACTTGTACACAGAAGAATTAAGTGTAATATTAACTTTAAAAATATTTCTACATTTCTACAAAGTTAATTTGAAGCAGGTGTTATCCAAATAAACATTTAAATAAAAATTAATATAGACAAATTCCCTTCAAGGTTATGTATTTTTTTTACTCAATTAATCTTTTAAAATCTACAAGTATATATTCGGTTCAAAGTACTAATTTCGGTTTTAAGTTCCTGACTGAAACAGTGCATACATTTAAAGCTTAATGAAATGGTACATAAATAGTATACCTTTTTTACAAGACGGCTTTTGGCAAGGTTATCAGTAAGTGGATGAGTTGTCATATCAAAGAGTAAGAAATTCTGTTTTTCTGTCGTTAAAACTCCCTTTTCGACAAGATTCTTTGCTAATCTTTCTCTAACATTTTTCAATTGGTATCTTAATTTGAGTGGGTTCCATGTTTCTCCTAAACAAAATTAAAGCACCATTGAACATCCACTTCAAGTTACCAAATAACTATACCGATATGTTTCCAAATTATTGAAGCATAAACTAACCACTGAGATATTCAATCCAGCTAGGGACAGTTTCAGGTGGATCAGTTTCTTTTAAATGTTTAAGGGCTTCATCTAACAAAACATCTCCTGTAGGTGCATCATTTTTAAGCAGAAGTTTCCTCACCAATAGACCTTTTTTACGCATACCAGCCTTTTCTAATTCTACTCGACCACGAAATCCCAGTTCTGCTAAGATACAACCACGTAATCCAGAACTTATGCAGTCATTCCAAAACGAAGTATAACCCTGCAACAAAATTTGCACATGATAACCCTAATAATAAGTTGAGTCGTAAATAATGTCTGTTTTAAATGGCATATAGCAAATACTACTCAGATTCCTAATATGACTGAGAGAATATGTTGGGTTTGATTTTCTTTTTTAAATTAGCAGCATATTAATTGCATGTAAACGTCAATATCATGTTTCACAATCAATTGCAAAGTAAAGTACAAGGTTTCCTTATCAATGAATGAACAAAACAAGGAAATTAAAATGACCATTGCAATTAGTCTATTATTCCATCGAGGAACAGAATCTTATTTGAACACAATTGCGAATGGAAATGAAAAATAAGTTAAAGCCAAGC